ATCTTTACTTCTTTTAAAAATGGTAATTTGAAAAATTTCATGTCTGTTTGCAAAAGTATTTATATACCCTTCCCTTAGATCACATTTTCATCCTTTCTCTCCATGCTTAGTATGTATTGTGTGTTCAACCTTTTAATAGTTAGTTACAGGGTGGCACTTACCCCATAATAGAACTTCTACATGGAACAAAGTCTTTCTCCTTGAATACAAACAGAACACTCAGGAAATTTAAAATGCTGATACTATAGTCCTTGATTAAAATTTTCCAACTGTCTCAAATACAGTGGGGCCTTGACTTACAAGTTTAATTCGTTCCGTGATGGAGCTCGTAACCCAAATTACTCGTATGTCAAATCATTAAAGTGAACGAAGTGAGACACGTGATGCTGGGCTGATGTTGTGGCGTTCACTGTGACGTTCGCTGCGCCAACTAGCGGTGGGGTATCTGAAGCTGGCTCGTAACCCGAATTTTAGCTCGCAACTCAAAGCAAAAATCGGCCGAGAGACGGCTCGTATCTCGAAAAACTCGTTAGTCGGGACACTCGTAAGTCAAGCCCTCACTGTATGTTCTTAATAGTTGTGTTTAGTTTACTTATCAAGGATGACACATTGCTTTAAATATTATTATCTCTTTATTCTTTTTTAATTTAGACAGTTCTCAAGCTAACCCTTTTTTTTTTTTTTTTTTGCTTTCTAGTCTTTCATGACATTAGCACTTTTATAAGGCCCTGCCAATTGTTTTTCAGAATGCTGTGATTGTTATTTTAGAATGGGACTCATCAGAAGGCTTGTATCATTTTCTTCCACAAGTTCAGGCGACCAGGTGCAGGCCTAGAGTGAGCCCTCAGGGTAGGGAGGTTTAAGCAGGAATGTATATTACTAGGTGAGTGGTGGGGAGGAGTGAAGAAAGGACCAGTTGAGGGTAATTGTAAGGAAGTTCTAATCATAAACCACCAAATCTAAATAGGTAAGGTAGGAAGCAGGAATAGGAGGGAAGGAAGGGACAGATAATGATAGAGGGGTCAGTAGTTGACCGGAGATCTCTACAGAGTCTTTATAAAGTGAAAAAAAATTGTGTAAGAAATATAGAAAATGCAGCTGGGCAGGGAATACATCCGTGCTTTTTCACTATGTCTGCTGAAAGCCCAGTGTTTTATGGAGGGGGTAAATGTGGGAGCTAGGTCCCATACACAAAACTATTTCATGAGCACTATTGCTAGGAGAGAAGTACATAAGGACTTATGATGTCCTTGACCATAACGTAGACTTTATGTCATACTTCCTAAGAAGAGCGTCCATAGTTCTCATATGTTATTACCCTCCTAGCATCCCTGGAAGACAGGAGTTGTGTGGTTGATAGGCAACGGTCTATAGTGACTAAAGAAGTCATTAAGCACATTAATGGTAAAACTGAGTTGAGAACCAGTGCACTCCCTCACAAATTATTTTTGCCAGACTTAATGCTCCTCAAGTCACATAATGTGCACCTCTACCTAAGTCACCTGCACATCAGGTGTGCTGTGGTTTCACTGACATCTCTATTTCAATTACTCTACTTTGTGCTTCTTGCCCTGTCGAACCCGGATAGCAGCTATCTAGGGAGGATAAATTCTCAAAGGTGTGCCCTCAACAAGTAATTTTGGAATGAGAAGGTACACAGTAACTGAAAGCCATTTATCTTCTCTTCATTCTGGTGATCCTAGGCACAAAGCCAAAGCATTTATGGATGTGCTAAGTACTGGCACCAGCTCTTGTACTCAAAACTATTTCCTGAGCAACATTATACCCTGAGCAGAGATTCTGTCTGCTTTCATTTATTGCCTTTCTTCACCATTGTCGTCATAAGCCAACATTCATTGAATGTCCACACGATTTGGGCACTATATAACTCTATATTTATACTCTTAAAAAACACACACACAGTGACATAGTATAAAAAAGGAAAACATGAATATTATTCCTTTAAGAGGGCATTGTATGAAAGGGGAGCATAATGACAAGGAACTAGACACTGGAAATTATTTTATTTCACTTTTTATTAGGAATTTACTCTGCTTTTTTTGACAAAGTAACTGAAATAGAAATATTTCAGTCACGGTTACGCTATTTAAATCAACTGGCTTCCTGCATTAATGAATTGGCTTTGGAAAATGGTTCCAATAAAACAATATCTGCATCTCACTGTAGCTTCACCTTAATTTATAACAGCAGCATGTTCTGAGGTCCTCACAATTAAGTTTTAATTCAATAACGCCTGTTGGGATGACCCATTTCCTTTACAGAGCCCCAGAGAGGTTGAAAATACAGGCTTCAAGTGCCCCCTGGTGGCTGACAAGCAAAATAACCAAGTACGTATAATTTGGAGTCTGGAATAAACAGGCAGGCACATGCCAAATTTCTTTCCCTCATCTCATTTATTCATTCATTCAAAACATTTTTATCAAGATTTACCTGTTATGCACTTAAGATCAAAGTCAAATGTATCAAAAAGATAAATAGGATCAAAAGATAAACTCCTCTATGACATGAACTGTTTATAGTAAGTAGAATGTGGGTGAAAAGGAGTAGTTTCAATCCTCCCTGCTAAGTGCTATTATAGTGGTATTTATTAAATTCCAATCAAGTAATGTTGGTCATCTTTATTTTTGTAGTAATTCTCATGGTAATTAATATTATCTACAAATTCCTGAAAAATAAAAGCAGCTATTTTCCCCATAAGTGTAATTTATATAACTATATAAATCTAGAAAACACATAGTAAATACTTATTTTTAGAGTTCTTTCTAGGAGTAAAATTAATCCATATTGCTTTTTATGAATATCCGTATTACTTTTTATGACTACCCTATTCATGGTATTTACAGTTTTAAAATTATTTTAATTCTTGCCAGGTCAGCATTATCAGATCTAATATGCAGATGAGGAAACTGAGGCAGAAGAGGCAGTCTTACCTGATAATTCAGTGTCATAGATAGATGAGACTAGAACTTGAATTGTTTTATTGCGCTTGTTCATTTTCTTGGTGGATTCATCCTATGACCTTGTGTGGTTTCTAATGGTAAATATGTGGGGTTTTATGAAGTCACTGAGTAACATGAGATAGCAATTTACAAGAAGGGTTAAAACACAAACGCACACATTGGATCACTTCCAACATCAGCTACCTAGCAGCTGTCACAATTCTCTTGAGTTGGATGGAGCCTTTTATCAAGTTATGAAAAGTCCCATATCTAATTACCAGTCCCCAGCATCACCCAGGCCCTAGCTTGGCACTGTTCAACCAAATGATACACTTGTAATGCCAAAGCAAAGTGAATACCTAAATAATTTAGTTGGGTCTTCTAATCCTAATAAAAAAAAAAGCTTATCATAAGCCTAATTAGTATTTTACTCACCCAATGAAGGCACGTAACAATAAATCTCCTATTGAATTTCCAACACTGAGAATGAAAGGTTGCAAGATTTTTAAAGAATGTATTCTTGGTTAACATGAATCAATGATGTGAGTCAAGATGTTCACAAAGTTGGTTTATTTGAAAGATAGCAATGGTTCTAGATGCAAACTACAAGACATTTAGAAGATGCCCCCCCCCCCAAAACCACCTAGAGATGGTGGGGGGGATTCTTGGCACTATCATTTGAAAGCTATGCTCTTTAGTATTTTCGATTGCTGTAAAGTATTTTCAATTCAATTATTTTTGTTCCATCTCAAAATATTTTTGCAACTTTTCCTTTTCTCATATTTTGTTCTGAACTATTAAAATAGCATTGCTATGAGCAATTTTTGGTTTGCTTTTATATACAATACTATAAAACAAGAACTACCAGTTGTTTTTAACATTTCCACTGTACCATGTTTCTTTTTTGATAAAGGGTAGCAGAATGATGAATATAACTATCATTTTAGATCATTGCTTTGTGAGATGAAACAAAAGACTCTTTGGGGGTAGGTTTTGTGTGTGTGTGCGTGCGTCTTAGGTTCAACATTTTACAAAATTAAGTCCAGTTGGTCCCAAGACTACACTTAAAATATAAATCATCAGACAGTAAAATTGTACCTCTGGAATCTGAACCAAAAATTAATGTGAAGCCTTTCCTCAAATATACTCAATTGTATTTTTACTTTCTTTTGTGCTTCTATGTTCATTCACTAGTTCATTCATTTCTTATTTTGTTCACCCACAAATAAAAGAGAGAGAGAGAGAGAGAGAGAGAGAGAGAGAGAGAGAGAGAAAAGAAAGTTCCCTCCCCTCTAGGAGATGCATGCATGCAAAAGTTCTAAAACTATTGTATTGAAATTATGCACAGGTGTTTCTGATAGAAAAGCAGCAGGGGGAAATCTAAATCCAAATAGAAATGCCAAGTAAGAGATAAGTAAAAGGGCTTTCTAGCTTGATGGACTTTCAACTGTATTTGAGGATAAACATATTTTGGGGAACTTTTTAGAGAAATTAGTAAACGTCTGATCAAGAGGGCATAGGTGCTATGGCTGAGTGTAAATTTTACCCTGCAAACCAGGAAAAACCATTGAAGTTTCAAGAAGGGGAATAAACTGACCAAGCTTGAACTTTAGTAAGGTCACTTAGGCAACTGTGGAAGATACTGGAGGATGCACGGAGAAGTAGAGCAGAGACATCAGATGCCTACTGCACTAACTTGGGCTTGAACTAAGGCAGATAAGAGGGCAGGGAGGGGACACCTGACCACCTTGCCACTCAAAGTGGTCCTCGATCAGCAGCATAAGCACTGACTGGGTTTGTCAGAAATATAGACTCTTGTGCAACACCTCTTACCTTCTCAATCAGTATTTTAACAAGCTCCTGAGGTAATATGTATGTCTGGGAGGTACTGCTCACATTAAGGAATACAGTAGGGGTAGTTACTAGAAGGGAAAAAGTCACTATCTTAGGTGTGGTCAGTTTGAGGTGTTCGTGGAACATCCAAGGAAGCTGATCCATGGCAGATGGGCATATGGGCATGGAGGCTGGGTTGAAGTCTGGTTTGGTGATGCAATTTACAATTTATTGACCTGTTAGTATTTGAAGTCATGGTCCGACCTGTATCCTGGGATTTTCCCAGGAAAAGCGTATCATTAGTCAGGCAGAGGGCCCATGAGCAAGCCCTAAGAAATACCATTATTTCCAGTCCCATACAGCAAAAGGTACTCCACGAGAAACAGAAGGAACTTCCAGTGGTAGGAATAAACACTGTGAGGAGTGGGAGGAAAGTCCCAGTGGCAGGATGCTCAACATTCTCAGTTTCCAGCAGAGGTCACATAAGTACAGACAAGAGTCCATTGGATTTGGCCATCTTGATGTCAGAGTAAAGCTATGGGTGCAGATTATTTCCCATTAAGTTCTTCCTTGACCTTAGTATGTGGGGATGTAATTTAGAGTTTCTGTTTTCAAAGTTCAGATGAGTAGATATGTGAGAGGAGCTTGGTATGAAGCCAGTTTGCAAATGTTCTCTCTTCCAATAGGATGGTAAATTCTTTGAGGAATAAGGAAGGCACATAAAGATGAGTAAGACTCAGTCCTAACTCCCAGAGTTTATAACACATAAGACAACTGTAGTACAAGATGGGACATGTATTATAAAATAGTATAGGGATTCAGAGAAACACACCATATCTAGACAATCAGAAGAGGCAGCTTATTTCTCCTCAGTTGTTAGCACAGAAACATGTACATACTTAACAAACTGTATTATTTGATGACTTTCTCTCAACAAATCTGGTGCATTGTTGAAAAGTCCCATTTATTCCAAGATCCAAGGAAACTTCAAACTCATTCATGAGATATTTATTAAAATAACACATTTAGGGAAAAAAAATCAATACAATGTATACATCATTACCGAAAACTGTATACCATCATACAAAAAAGGATTTTATTTTGGGAAAGCGATTCCTAATTTATGGCAAGTTTTACTTTCAGAAATAAGACCACAAAACAACACAATCTAATTCAATCTTAAAGGCTGGCATGCTGAGCAAGGAATGTTCTTATTCTTTGTAGAAGCTCCTTCTTTACACTGTCAGGTACCAGGGCTGAAATATAAAAATAAAAATATAAGAGTAAGAAGATTCCAATGAATATATGCCAATTTTAGGTTTGATGTCTTATTCAGGATGACCGATCCAAAATTTATAATCCATTTTATAAATACCCTCATGAGCTTTAATAACAAATTAGATAAACATCTGAAAAAATAAAGTATATTTTCATTTATTATTTGAGTGAAATAACGAAATACATTGAACACAGAGAAGAAAACATGGGAAAATTCTTTAAATGAAGTGAAAAACGGCCTTTTTAAAACACAGAGGCTATAACAGATTGATAAATTTAATTCAAATGCAACAGCAACTTAATAAGCTTGGTCAAAATCACTGTAAACAAAGGCAAAAGACAAAAACTGGGAAGTCACTTTTACAGAAATGGGCTAATCTCTCTACTCTAAAATTTCTTCAATTTGGTAAGATCAGCAGGCTGTTAGAAAAACGAGCACAGGCGATGAAGAAAAGGAGAAACACACAGTTCTTGAACATAAGAGGGGATAAACCTTACAAGAGAAATGAAAATTAAAACCACATTCAGATAACATGTTTTACCAATCAGATTGGCTAAAATCCAAAGGTTAATAATATACTGTGTTGGCAAGACTGAGGGAAAAACTAGCACTCTCATATTAGCTGGTGGGAGTATAAACTGTTCCAATATTTTTTGGAAGGTAATTCGACAATATTTTATAGAAATAAATGCATATACTCTCTGACTCAGCAAAGATGCAAAACCACAACAGTGGTTACATTTCCTATATTTTTACTTTCTGAATTTGAACCATGTGACTGTACCATCTATTTGGAGTATTAAAAAAAAAAAACGAAAAGAAAAAAGAAAAAGCCCTGCTCTTGGAAATTTTATTATTAAATATCAATAAATCTACATTACTGTTCCTTTTCTAATTGCCTAATAAATAAGGGCAATAGAGAATTAACTAACACTTCTAACACTTGTATTCAGAGGAAATGGAAAGCTTCAGATATAGTTAAATATTTCTATAAGAATTTCAGAAATAAGTACACAAATCAGAGGAGACAGATACTCCTCTATAAATTGTTTAGTTTCAGCCTGTCTAGAAATAGAGACTACATGGTTAATTCAAGTCCACTGGAACTGTGATCAATATGTATATTAAACATACTTTTAGGTGATCAAGAACAGATCAGTTGCCTTGGGGTAGGGATAGGGTGTGAATGAATACAAAGGTATCGCTTGAAGGGAGTGGTGGGTATATGAATTCATACATGTGTATAAAATTCACAGAACTGCACACTAAAACAGTCAATTTTACTGTATATTTAAAAAAGTAAAATGCTTCTACTCTTCACAATAAAGAAGACTAAGAGAACAGATTTATTTTCACTTCTCTTTTCTTTATTTACTCATTCTCTAGCAGGGGAGCTACAAAGAACTGATATGTCCAAGATACCAGTGTTCAAGGAGGAGCAAAGGACAATTTCTACCCTGTATAACCGGTTCCTAAGTAATGTTAACAAATTAGGCATAAATTACTGAAGGAAAATAGAAAACAAGTTTAGGGAAAATTATTTTAAAATGTAAAGTCATGAGGGGAACAATAAATACTGTTGGTTTTATTTTTCTTTCTGAGATATGTGTAAAGAAAAGGTCAGGTTTTTGTAGCTGTAACTAGGCCAAAAGATATGATGGAAAGAACCAAGGGATTCCTAGCTCCTTTCTAACAGGTAAGCAGTTTGGGGAATGAGTAGTTTCTAAGAATAATTTTTAAACATATTTACTTATTTACATTTAAATTATTTTTAGTATTTTTGTGTGAGAAAACAATAGGTCATCTAATTTACCTGGTTTCACTTAAACTTTCTCAAAGTAAATGGGGAAAAAAATGTAGGTCCATCTAAGATAAGAATATAATGTAGTTTCCTGACACTATTTATTACATAACGTCGATGTTAACATACTTCCTTTCTTTCCTTTGCCTTCTGTAAACAAGGCATTAAAGGGAGAAATTAGGTGGTTGCAGGGTGAATCTTAATTATGGATTACCCTGAATATGAAGTTATGGTGCTACTACATTCTTAATTAGACATTCAAGAAGACAGAGCTTTGTTTATTTTTAATAAGCAAAGTGATAGCAGAGCAATGACTCACAGACCGGAGTAAAACTTTGAATTATTAAATATTAAGTGAAGTCAGGCCATATTTAATAGTTTATAAATCGTAGCTTCAGGTATATTTACCTCTACAAGATCCCATATTTTAAAAAATATCTTTCTTACCAATCATGTCAATTTCTTTGTATACTGTTTCAGAGTGCAAAACATTTTACACCTCTTATCTCATCTGTTACTCAAAATCATACTAGGGAGGCAGTGAGACAATTATAACTGTTCCCAATGAGGGAACATCAACTCTCCAAATAATTTTGGAAAAGTTGTTTTTCTTTGTAGGAAGAAAGAAAAGCTGAACCAGCATGACAGAAAAAAATCATGTCTTTAGCACACGTTTCCTTTCACACAATTTATATTCCTTACCTCTGCCTTTTGGTGTGATTTCAGCCACCAAGTCATCAACAGTAACGTGTTCTAGTCCTTTTTCTTTAATTACCTCTTATGCAAAAGCAAAAAACAAATCATATCATTTAAAATCATTATCTGTAAGAAAGATTTTCATAGAGGAAGGGTTAAGATCATGTTTTTAGAGTACAGATTGGTCTTTAAAAAAAAAAGAGGACACTTCTTTTTTAATGAATATTTAGTTCAACTTTAAACACATTAAGTATTCACCAGATAATATCATAAAAGCCTGTTCATCTCTCAGCTAAATAACTTTAGCTTAACAAATATAGCACAGAATGAATTTGAACTATAAGGTCAAATCTAACAGTTATAAAAAGCTAGAAATTTATAACTGCACAGATCTTATTTCACTGTTATCATACTAGCTCTTAAATGTGTGGAGGGGGAATAAGCTATTATTTGTGTCCAATTTAAAATTTCATAGCCCAAAATGAAAATACAAAACTCCTTTGCTCCTTTCTCTTCTCTAGACTGGGCCAAAAGAAACAAGAGGGAAAGTAGTTAATGTTTACTGAACCCCTACTGTGTGCTGGATGCTTTATATCAGTTAATATTCACAATAATGAAATGGGCTGGGCATTTTTCCCACTTCACAGATGAGGCAACTGAAGCATAAAGATTAAATAACTCATCCAAACATGAGTTGAAATACAGCTCTAGTCTTTTATCAGTGAAGATCTGTATGACCTCAAAGTCTATGCTTTTACTGATTTGTCATAATTAGTTAATGTTATAAATAGTCACTATTATCATTACTTGTAGAAACCATTACAATATAATGGGAAATCATTAAAAATAACCAAAACGCTATTATCCTAAAAGCTGAGCCAGAAAGGAGGCTCCTCATAGTGACATGTGTAATCTGTCTAATGGAATCATCATCAACATTAAGCAATTTAACAAGCCCCCATTGTACATTTTAAAAAATAAGTATAATTCTTTAAGAGCTTTTAACATGAATTTTTCAAAATAACACTGTCAAAGACAAGAGAGATAATTCCTAAATGTCTAACAACCATAAAGTACTCAGTTGGTTAATTAAAACATATTAGGAATAAGGAATGTTTCATTTTGAACGGGCACACTGAAAAGGTGAGATTCCACATTTTAAAGCCATAGAAAATCCTGCTTCACTTGTTTTAAGAGAAATACACAAAATTTTTTTATAAATTTAGGAATTAGGTCTACATATTATCACAGAGGAGGAAATCATCACTACAAGAGTCAATTTTCCATTTGTTTAAAATTATGTCTGACCACTTATATACCTTTATAATACTGACTGTAATTTTTCTAGTGAACTTCAAACCAACATAGAGAACAATGGAATTAGCTTATCTTCTAAATGAAACTGATTACCTTTACAGTGTGCCTTCAATTGATCCTTCCAGCCACATTCAATTAATTTAGCTCTCAGCAACTCTTTGAGGCTGTGTAGAAAAAAAAAGTGTTTTCAAATTAAACTACAACAATGTGCAATATCTCAGATAGGAACGTTTGAATCAAAAGTTCAACCCTTCAATTAAAAATTCCCTGCTTGCCAGTCACAAAACTTCAACCATGTCCTGATCCTGGTTCTATCACGAAATAGTTTAAATAGTTCTTTGATCTTGTGGGGACATGGCCTCATTTTCATTACTAGCAAAGTAAAATAAAGCAGATGGGGCACAATACTTCTCAAGAAACTCTACTCTGGCCTTCTTACACCCTGTCTACCTCCCCCCACCAACAGAAATATTGTGGGGCTATACACCTTTTGGAAGATATTAGTTGAGCTTGGAGCAGCTGCACCTCTGAAATCTTCAAACTCCAAAATCCCTTCCTTGACTACAAATTCTTATCCTTTAATTCTCTTACTTCCCCATTATTTCTCTCTCTAATCTCAAAGACTCCCCTCCCTTTTTCCATTAACCTTCTAAATGATACATCAATTATGTATTTCATGAATCTAACACTTTACCCCTCACATTTTAACAATTCAGTAAATGGCATGCCTATGATAATTTAAATTTTTTTATTGATTTTTAGGACGTAGAAAAGGTACGACAAGAGGGAATGAGTGAAGGTAGGACAGTGGGAAGGATGGGAAGGAGTGAAGGATGGGAGGAGGGGAGGAGGGAATGAGGGGGAGGAGGGGAAGGAGGGGAGAGGAGGGGGAGGAGGGGAAGGAGGGGAAGGGGAAGAGGGAGAGGGAGAGAGAGGAAGAGAGAGAGAGATTTGTTGTTCCATTGATTTGATGCATTCATTGATTGATTCTTGTATATGCTCTGACCTGGGATCAACCCTGAAACCTTGGCTTATGGGAAGACGCTCCAACCAACCGAGCTACCTGGCCAGGGCCCTATCATAATTTAATTAGCAGGGTTTTCTTGTTTCTAACTGGTTTAAAAAAAAGGCGTATATTGCAACTAATGGCATCATGGATGTAATAAAATAGTTTATCAGTACTTTCTGTTCCTTTTCCATACCCACTCTCAAAAATCCTCAATCTTCCACCTAAATCATCTTATTTCTCAGCTTAAAACATGTCATATTCCAAACCAAACTGCTTCTTTCAATATTCCTGTATCTCCACCATGTGGCATTTTCATCTCAATATTTAATCAGGTCATTCAATCTTCACCGGGCTCAAGCCCAGCTCATGCTCCTCTCCACCCTCAACCTGTTCTGTTCTCCTTGTCACGATGGCAATTCCATGCTTCCAGTCCCTCAGGCTAGAAATCTTGGCAGCGTCCTTCACCGCAACTTTGCTCGCACTACACATCCAACCCATGAGCAAGTCCTACTGGTTCCAGTTCTAAAATAAGTACCTGCACCCATGTTTTGTATCACCTCTGCCCTGTGCAAGCTACCACCTTGCCTTGACTGGACTGTTCCCAAAGCCTCCTAACTTGTTCCCCTGCTTGTTCTCCTTGCACACTTCCATTCTCTTCCCACTGCTCAAAACTCTCCAGTGGCTTCCTAATTTACCCGGAAGAAACTCCAAGTTTTACTACAGCCTAAATGACCCTCCATGATCTGCCCCCTCCCCAGCTGTGCCCTGACTTCCTTCTTTCCCTCTTCCAATTTATTCAGTCTCATTAGCTTTCGTGTGCTCCTCAAAATGCCCAAAAAATTCCTTTCTTGGGACCTTGGCTTTTGGAGTCCCTCCATCTCCCTCATGTCCTTCTGATCTCTTATCAGTGAAGCCCTGTTTTTTCTTCCCAAAATAACATACCCCATTATTCTCTGCTTTGTTTCTCTAGAACTCATCATTACCTGACATATTAGACATTTCTTGTCTGTTTCCCCCCATTAGGATGCAAGTTCCATGAAGGGACAGACTTCACTTTGTTCACTACTATAACTTCAGCACCTTAACAGGACGTGGCATGTGGTAGAAACTCAGTAACTAAGCTGCATGAAATAAACAAACAAATACATAGTCCCCTAGACTCATTACTGGCAATACTATCCTCTCAGTTTCCCAAGGCACCTTTCTAGTTTCCACCTTCTTCCTCATCTCTGATTTTACTTAAAAAACAAAAAACTACAACCTGAGTTTTCCTTTTCATTTTACTGTTTTTCATTTTTAACCCAATATAATCTTCTGCATTCTGTCTCTAATGCTTCCAGTCTATGCTCCACTCTGCCAGAATAACATTCCTAAAGTGCAAATGTGATCTAGTCATTCCCTTAAAAAAACCTTTTAATGCCTCCCAACAGCCAAGGATAAAATCAACAACAGATGTTTTTGAAAACCCACCACCCATTTTTCTGTCCTTTTTTTGACAGAAGAAAAACAAAAAAACCTCTACCACTCTCAGTGTAAGAAATCTGGGTAGGGTTCTGGTGATGGACATGTGACCTAGGCAAGGGTGACCACGACTGGCCTATTACCTAAGTGAGATGGTAATCAGGGCAGGTCTTTATTGAAACTATCAGGAGGAAGGTAGTCTGAGCCAGAGGGGCATACATTTTGAACCACTGATCTCTGTAGGGAGGGCCTGCCTGAGAATAAAGCCAACACAGAGGAAAGCAGAGCTGAGAGGCAAAGAAAGATATATTGTTGACAATAACTTTTGAGTGCCTGAACCCAGCAGTGCCTGAAGCAATTTTAAGCTCTAGACTTTTCAGTTAGAAGAGCTTATGTATTTCCATTGGTTAAGCCAGTTTCTATCATTTTCAACGAAAAAAAAGCTGACTTATACAAAATCTACTCCTCCTGTCCACACAGCTTTTGCCCTTTACCTCCTCCTAGCTTTGATTCTGCACTTACCCCAGAAGCTGTGATTTTGCACATTGTTCCATCTGCCTAGATTGTCTTCTCTACTTTTTTGGCTTGAAGAACTGCTAATCCTTCTCCCCCAGCTGAAGTACCTCTTTTACTATTGTGAGCTCTTAACTGATCACCTTAACCCGCAGGTGGAATTGAAAGATCCCTCCTGTTCCCTATATATACTTCCCTCACAATTTATCACCCTGTTTCTGGAAGCCTTTCTTGATTCCTCAGCCTCTCCTTTGTACTTGCAAACCTTTGTGCTCATTTTTCCAAATATTTACTTGGCCAATTAAGAACTAGGCGTGATAATGGATATACACTGGTATTTCTGCTGTCAAGTAATTTAGATTATATTGAAGGATACAAACTAGCTAAGTAGGTGGTCACAATACAATGTTAAATGTTCTGATAGACCAGGATACTCAAAAGAAATATTTAAATTAAGACTTGAAAGATGAGCTAGACGAAGCTAAAGATTAGGAGAAAAAGAAAGGAATGTTTCAGATGGTAGGAATAGTACATGCTACTGAGGTTAAGAGAACTTGGCAATGCCCTGGCTGTGGTGGCTCAGCTGGCTGAAGCGTTGTCCCACACATCCAAAGGTCTCAGGTTCAATCCCAGTCTCGGTGCGAGGAGACCGATCAATATTTCTCTGCCCCCTTTCCTTCCTCTCTCTCTAAAATTAATAGAAACATATCCTTGGATGAATATTAAAAAAGAGCTTGGTAACTAATACTGGTTCTATTATGCTGTCTCCCTGTGAAAAAGTGGGTAACATTATGTCTCCAACTGTCGTTATTTAGGAATTTTTTTTGCTATTACACAATCTCTGAGAGTCATTTCTTATTCATCTTTCTACATCACTCACTTCCCTCTAATTTCTTGCAATACTGAATAGGCCTGCCTATCGTTTACACATGTTAGGAACTGAAGCTTTTGACAATCTATTTTTCTGTAATTCTTTCCACTGACATCAGTCTTGTTCCTTCATATTTCGATTCTTGTAGATACAGTAACTGTAACTTAAAGGCGTTAAATACAATTTATCCACACAGTCTCTTACTTACCGTTCTCTTTCTCCAGTTTCTATCAACTTTTGGTTAATCGCTGCTCTCATCTGCGCATCTTTGTTCATCTTGCTAACCTGAACATCAACACGCATTTTCAGACACAGAGCACTTACAAAGCATTCCCTCCTAAATCCTCTAGGCAAGCACCACCACACCTTTACCGTGCTATCGACTGAAGGGGCGATAAATACCAACAATGCGTTAACGACGTCATTACTCTCATATTTGCTGCATCCCAAGGAGGCACACTGATAAGCTCCCTGAACAGCTTCCTCCCCCCGGATGCCCTTTACTAAAACGAGTCTGGAAGTAGCAAGTATCGTCACATGTATTAGACACGTGTAGGTGCCTGGTGCGGGGCTAACACATTGTTGTTGCTTTTTTTTTTCTTTCTTTAACTCATTCCACTCCCAGAACCTATTATTTCATAGAAGTAGGATTAACATCATCTGTGTTTTACAGGTGAGGAAACTGAGGCACTGAGACAAGAAAGTCATGAAAAAGTCGGTTTTGCACTCGGGTGGCTTTGACCCCGCCCCCCAAACACGTCCACGGCTCATCACGACTGCGAATCGTTTCTGTTCAAAATTTTTGGGGAGGCCATGCTAGCCTAGGATATGTCGGTGAAAAGTGCAATTTCCAGGTTAAGATGTTAAGTGCTTCCCTTCTCGCGGGGACGCATCCTGAATCGCGATGACTAAACCTGCTGTTATTGAGTATATCTGTGCTCTTTCTTGATCAAAGGGGCAAACAAACCCCAAACGAAGTCCTCACTTGAGACATTCTCACTTTCCAGTAAAAACAGCCAGCCCAGCCCAAAATGGTGCAGAAAGCAGAGGGAGGCGAGGCTGGGAGGCTTGGAACCAGCCGGCACCTGTCAGTCACTTCAGACCACTTTGCAGCCTGCCATGTGCCCTTTTGGGAAAACGCAGGCTGGCATGACTTCTCAGAGTTGAAATTTCTTTCTTTTTTTCCCCCCCAAGTGCAAAGGGAAAAGGAGGGGTTGAGAAAGGACTAGGACATGTTTGCTTTTGCAGCTGGAGGTTTAACATTTTCAAAAAGCAATTCAGTCAGGACCATGCCCAGAAGACTGAACTGAATCTCGCCCCGGCCCCTCCAATACGGACAGTGACCTTGGACAAGTCGGTTCCGAAAGACCTCAGTTTTCTCACCGGTGACACAAGGGCGCTAAGGGATCCCTCCCGGTCCAGTCATTCCTGGGGAAAGCAGAACGGGGCGGAGACAGCGGAGAGGCGGGAGGGGAGGAGCCAGAAAACAAAGCGAGGACTGGCTCCGGGCCAACTCCGGTAGCACGCCCAGTCGGAGAGCCCTACAGGCCCGCGAGCGCGGGTCGGGGAAGCGAACGAAAGACAGCACATCGAAAGGAGCCTGGGCCGGGCCCGGGTCCCGGCCCTGAGGACCACGGGCATAGCTCACCACCATCACCGCGGGCGAGGGCCGTCCCTTCCCAGCGACGAAATGACCCTTGCGCTGGCGACCGTTACCTACCACACTCTTCGGCTGCCCGGACTTAGACCCTCAGTAGCTCGGGCGCCTAAGCACACAGAAAGCTAGAACACGCATTTCCGGGGCGGGGCCTCGCCACCCTGCCTATCAGGTGAGAATTTAACCAGCGCGGGCCGCCTCCTGGCCGCTCATCCCTCTGGGTAAGAGAGTCCAGCTCCCGCTGTCGCGTTGGGCGGGGCGTCCTCTGGAAACTACGTATCCCGGTATGCAACAGTCAACTCGCTCACGGGCACTACATTTCCCAGAAGGCATGCTGCACCGCAGTGTTTAATGGGATGGGACCCACGCAGCCTCCCAGCCTAGGTGCAACGAGGGAAGCGCGGACCTTTCAACAAGAGCTTTATTAATTCTCCCGCTAGGATCCTGGAAGGCGATGGAGGTGGCCGCTAATTGCTCGCTGCGGGTGAAGAGACCCCTGTTGGACCCCCGATTCGAGGGTTACAAACTCTCCCTCGAGCCGCTGCCCTGTTACCAGCTGGAACTAGACGCAGGTGGGAAGCGGCGGCGTCCCCTTGCACTCTTTTCCTCTTCCCTTTCGGATGCCAAGGGCCAGACCCTTCCCGCATTTTCTTCCTTTCCAACTCGGGGCCTTCCTTACGGCCCGTCGGGCTGGGGTGGACACCGGGTGGCGGTTTCTGGAGAAGGACGTCCATCCCGGACCTTGGTGGGAGCCACCTTCTGTGGCGGGACCACGGGCCGGCACTGGGCTGGGCCGCTGGGCTCCGGGGCCCGGCACACAGGTGCTGCTCGGGCCGAGACCGCCTGTCCGTCCTGGCCTGGCCCCTGCTGCGGAGAAAGCTCACAACTTGCTTTCCCCTGGGCCTGGAGCATCCATCCTCTGTGAACCTGTGCGTTGAGAAGCCACACCTCTTTGGGACCCCAGCTCCTGCTCCCTCTGGCTGAGTCCGACCCATTTCTTAAAAGAGGAACCCCATTGTAGTTCTGAGCAGGTGCAGTTACCTGGGTGATGTTAGCCTAAGGACTGTATTGTAGAGAACATCTCCAGAAAATTGTGAGCAAGAGTTGGTTTTCGTACCCATACTTCTTACGACTTGTTTTGTGTATCTGTAGCAGGCCAGCTAGTCACTACTTTACCTTTCTTTTTTAAAAAAAAAATATTTATTGATTTCAGAGAGGAAGGGAGAAGGAGAGAGAGAAACATCCATGATGAGAGAGAATCACTGATGTGCTGCCTCCTGTACGCCCCCCACTGGGGATCAAGCCCGCCGGAATTGAACCTGGGACCCTTCAGTCCGCAGGCTGACACTCTATCCACTGAGCCAAGCCGGCCAGGGCCACTTTACCTTTTTTTTAAAAAAAAAAAAAAAAAAAACACAACAAGGTGGAGAATGGCATTTTCATTGAGGATAGAGAGCCCAGAGATTTGCATTTTTAATACACACCCCTGCTGATTCTGGTGCATGTTGTCAGTAGATCACACTTTGAGAAATACTGATCTACAGTTGATGAATAGATTTTATAGTGTCAAATAATGTGTTTAATTCATTTATAAAATTCAGAAACATCTATTGGGACCCTGTTTTATGTTACATGCTAACATCAAGATGAGTATGACAGTCTGTAACATAAAGGTGCAATTATCTAGTTGGGAGGAAAGGTAAACAGATAATTATAAAGCAATGTGGTAAGGCAGTGATTGGGATATGTACAAAACATAACGGTAGTACTTAATCTTTCCAAACCAGCCCGGGAGATCTGGGAAAGCTTCCTGGAGGAATCGATATCTAAGTTGCACTTTGGAGGCTAGGTAAGAGTTGAGCAGGGTAAGATACAATGAGCTTGGTTTTTCTTTTCCATTCCCTCTCCCACTCCATATCAGTAAATGGTACCACCATGTTTAGTTAGTTTATGCATTTAAAAAGTCATCCCAGCCCTAGCCTGTTTGGCTCAGTGGATAGAGCGTCAGCCTGCAGACTGAAGAGTCCTGGGTTCGATTCCGGTCGAGGGTACATGTCTGGGTTGTGGGCTCGATCCTGATCCCCTGTGTGGGGCGTCCAGGAGGCAGCCAATCAGTGAATCTCATCACCTACAGGTCAGGTAAGTGGTTCTAGGTGTGGCTTGGGCTCATCCGTGCACTTTTGTTCAATTATGGGTCTGCTAGGCGTCTCTGCTCATCTTGGCTGGACTTCCTCATATGTTTAGGGGTTCTTTGGCTATAGACTGGCTTAAGGTTACTTCAGATGGCCCCCACTTAGCTCTACTCCACTCGATCTCTCATTCTTTAGCCAGCTAGTCCAGGCTTATTCCAAGAGACAAGTAGCAGTGCACAAACACTTTTTCAAGCTACTGCTTGGAATAAGTTTGCTGTTGTCCCATTGTGTGGAGAGTGGTACAGCGTTTGGCCAGGTTGAAGCCTGGGACTAATAGGCGGGCACGGTCCTCTCCTGGCAAAGCCACGTGCAAGTCCCAGCTTGGGGGGCAAAGCCCTCCCAGCACAATTATAGCCAAGGGCTATAGTTGTAAGCTTGACCTTATGGTCCGAACCTGTGGTCCCACGTGACTAAGTGATACAGGCTGCAGGAGGTGCAGCAAGTAAACAAAGCTTGACCAGGTGGGTATAATTGAGTAGATTCGAAACTCAAGAGAACATTGTAACCACGCCCTTACTTTGCCTTGTGGAATCTGGCATTAAATAAAGACACGGCTTTCAGGAGAGAGGACAGCGTCTCACCCAGACCCAGCTTTTTTCTCTTGTCTGTCTTTTCTCAATCCTTCACCACCCCCTCTCAGGCTCACTGAATCTGGCTGTCCTGGCTCAGCACATATGGCACCCAACGTGGGGCTGAGTATGCCATGGTCATGCCAGCTCGTCACACCATTGGCCAAGCAAATCATATAATCATGTCTAGAATAATTATAGCCACCTCATACCACATGGCATAGCCCCAGGGAGGCATAAAAAGTTGGGACCATTAGTTCAGGTCTATGTAGTTGCTTATGTTGACGTCATGGAGTTATTTCTTCATTAAACCCTCCTGTTCAATCTGTCAGCAAATCCGGTAGAAGATTTTGGCTTCTTCATGCCTCTATCCTTGTCTAAATCACAGTTATCTCTTACCTGAACTGTAGTAGCTTCCTTGACTATCCTTCCTGTCTTCATTTTTGGGCTCCTTCATTCCATTCTCCATAAGGCAGTACAATCATAGTTTTAAATCTGTATTTATTTGATATCTGTTTGTTTCACTAGACTGTGAGCTCCATGAAGACGGTGTTTCTCCTTTACTCACTACTCTGCCATTGCTCTTAGCATAGCAGATGCTCAATAAATTGAGTGAATGAAGGAGAGAAGGAGGGAAAAAAATCTCCTGGGAAAGTGAGACAGGACTGATTTCTTCATGGGGCCCCTCAATAAAAAATAAAGCTCACCCATCATAAAAAGCCCAATTTCTTAATTTGCCAAGTGGAGATGTTTCTTAAAAACTATCATGTAGCCCAGCAGGTGTGGCTCAGTGATTGAATGTGGGCCCATGAACCAGGAAGTGAAGGTTTGATTTCTGGTTAGGACACATGCCTGGGTTTCCAGCTAGATCTTCAGTAGGGGGCGTGCAGGAGGCAGCTGATGGATATTTCTCTCTCATCGATGTTTCTATCTCTCTATTCTCCCTTCCTCTCTCTAAAATCAGTTAAAAAATATCTATTTTTAAAAACTCATGCACTCGCCCATCTTTTTATAAATAAAAAGCTATTTTTAACACAAAAAAGCAGGAAGCAAAATCTCATAATACAGTGGGGCCTTGACTTACGAGTTTAATTCGTTCCGAGACCGAGCTCGTTAAGGAGCTCGTTAACTCACATTACTCTATCAACTCAATGCAAAAAATCAGCCAAGAGACAGCTGGTATCTCAAAAAACTCGTTAGTCGTGACACTCGTAAGTCAAGGCCCCACTGTATATAGCTCTCTAAATCCAATAAAAACAAAGTTTTCCTTTTTCTCCCCTCAGTTCACCTCTGTTGGTTTTAGATTCTATGTTTGGGATGCACAACTGGAGGTGGTGAGGTGCCATTTAGGGCTTTAAGCAAAGAAGGAAAGTTGATTTAGGGTTTTAATGGTTTACACTTGGGCTCTATGGAGGTTGAATTTGGAAAATGAGAGGAATGGAAACAGATCAGCTTAACACTTTTGCAGTAGTTCATGTGGAGGGACTTATTTACTTGAGGAGGAGGATGAAAAAGAGGTTAATTCTTTTGAAAATTATTTCTAGAGAAAGTGAGGTGTGATTCAGGAGCTCCTCCTGACAGCTTGACTTCTTTTACACTAACCTAAGGAATTTACATTAATTCAGCACACTGTGAGTGGGCACCTCGGGTGGGTGAAGCTCTGCATTTAGGGTGTGAGGATGAAGATATGGTCCCTGGTCTCAAAGACCTTGGAGGTTAGGTATTCTCTTGTCTAAAGTAGTGTCATTAAATTGTTCTAAAATTCCCGCTGCTCTGTAAACAGTATATGTCACTTTGACTTTTTCTATTTTAAAGAACTAAGCAAGAAAACCTTTTTTATAAATTGTAATTGCCCTATGACCCAGCAATTCCATTTCTGGATAGTTATCTTATAGGTTTTTTCCCCTAGAAACTTTATTCAGTAAATGTCTTTGTATATCCTCCCTCCCCCTATATTTCACCTAGCTAACTCATATTGCATTTTTTCGGCTTGATTTGTGTTACTTACTTAGAGATTCCTTTCTTGAGTTAGAATCTGTACCTTTCAGAATCTACTGTCACATCGTACCTGCTATTTCATAGACTTTGTCTCACTTAGTAGTATTCGATGTCTTTTCTGTGTTAAGACTATTAGTTCTGTATTGATGAATCCTGTGTCCATCTCCTTCAGTGCTTTATCTCTAGGGCTGGAGCTTGCATGGTGAATAATGGATTATTTCATATAACACATTAAACAGCTTTATTGAGATATAATTGGCAAAAGGCTCCACATATTTAAGTGTATAGCTTGGCAAAATTTGACATATGTAAACACTCATGAAGTCATCACCACAATCAAGATATAAAATTTAGCTGTCATTCCCCGGA